GGCGGGGAGGGCATGGGGGGGCGTGTGGGGTGGGAGGAGCCCGGGCAGGCTGGCTCCTGGGGTCCCAGCGGGTGCCGGCACAGGGTAGGCAGAGCTGACTGTAGCCACGTGACCTTGAGCAAGACCCCCTTGGTGGGAGGCAATGGTGGTGAGCTCCGTGGGAAGCCTGGCCCCAGCGTCTTCCGAAACAGCAGCTCAGAGGGCCGGGAGTGCCAAGGCTGGGCCCCTCCCTGGTGCCCAGCACCCTGCCCTCACCTGCCCGTATCTGGGTTCAGGCTGGCTCTACGGCGAGAGGCTGCGGGACGGAGAGACCGGTTGGTTCCCCGAGGACTTTGCGCGGTGCATCACCAACCGTGTGGCCGTGGAGGGCAACGTGCGCAGGATGGAGCGGCTGCGGGTGGAGACTGACGTGTAGCCCGCTCCGTGGGCACCTCGCCAGGCAGCTTCAGTCCAAACTCCAGCAGGTGGCTGTGGCAGCCCGCAGGGGGCCTTGTGGGCTTGTCCCGGGAGCCGAGCCATCCTGGGCCTCCCCAAGGACCTGTGGGCTGCAGTGATGGCTCCAGACAAGCTCGAGGGGGCCGTGCCAGCCCTGACCCCTGGCCAAGTTCCTGAGAGGAGCCCAGCCAGCTGTGGTCACTGGCCCCATACCAGCTCCTGACCGCCCGCCCTGCCCCGAGCACCCACAACTATGCCATGGGTGGCATGATGGAGGATGGCCCCGGGAGCCGTGGGACTGGCATGGGGCTGTCTACCTCCTACACTGCTCCTGCCCCGCGTGGACAGGGCGGGCCCTGAGCCCCAGGCTGCCCTGCCGTCCGAGAGGCGGGCCGCCCAGAGGGAGGTGACCCCATGATCCCAGCACTATACTTGTGACGGAGGTTCCCAGAGACATTAAAGTGCTCGTATAGCCCCTGGATTCCACAGCGTATGTGAGCCCCGCCAAGGCCACGCAAGTCCCCAAGAAATTACCAGGGTACCATGGGCCAGGGGGACTGGCCCCTGGGTGTGGTCACTGGGTTAGTCACTTGTCTGGGTGCCCATTCGTGGTCACTCCAGGCTCATTCTTGGCCTCGCCTGTCTTTCCAGCTGGAGTCATGGGCAAGGCCGGTGGGTCTGGGGGCTCGAAGACAGCAGATCCTGGGGGAGACACCCTAGAGGGACATGCAGTGGGAGAGGCACTGGGCTGGGCGGGGGACAATGGTTTTTCCAGGGGGTAGGGGTTGTTGGCTGCCTAACCAGGCTCAAAGACCAGTCCACTCTCCCAGAAGCCCCTGCCAGCCCTCCCGATGCCCACCCTGTGCTCTCAGCTGGCACTACTGTCCTTAGGTTGAGTGCCGCATCCCACTGGGCGCCAGCTTCTGTGTAAAAGCCAGGATTGTGACTGACCCCCTCCTCCCAGAGTGTGTGGCTGGGGAGCCCACCGCTGGCCCTCAGCCATGGGGTCCTACCCATCCCCCGTACCAGGTGGTGGAGGGGGTTCACCCCGGGAGGATGGGGCCACTCCTCCCCACTGAGGTGACCTCCATGGCCTCGGCCCAAGGCAGAAGGCCTACGTCAAAGCGCCATCCTGGGCAGGAGCTTCCCAGGGTTGGGGGATGAGAGATGGGCAAAGCCAGGGCTCAGGGAGAAGCATGGTCTGGGGGGCTGGGTCACCAGCGATCAGGCCCTCTCTTTCTGGGCAGGTGGAAATTTGGGGCCTTGATTTTCCCGCCTGTGAGCTGGGTTAACTCCCTGCTTTTCCTGGAGTGCTGTGGGGGAAGCTGGGGCCAGTGTGCGCACAGCTGCATGGGTGCCGGTGGGTGGGTGCGGGTGCAGGCCCAGGGGTGTGTGTGCTGCACAGAAGCTAGTGGGCAGCATCCTGTATGAGCCCAGCTGCCCGTAGCCCACCTGCTTGTTCCCTGCTGACCCCGGGAGGGCAGCCAGCCTGCTCCCCTTCCTCTACCCAGTACAGTTTCGGTTAATGGAGCAGAGTGGCTTTGGAAAGCCCCAAGGCCACATCCTCACTTCCGTGACCTGGGTCGGGTCTTGAAAGTGGTCAAAGCCCCCCTGTGCCTCATAAGCAAGGAGGAGTCGGGCTGCTTAGCCCAGAGGAGGGATATTCCAAGATGTGGGGAGGGGCGGCCACCAGAGGCTGTTGGGGACAGCTGGGTCCATCCGGGGAGGGCCAGACCAGGCCGGCTCAGGACACAGANGTTCCAAGATGTGGGGAGGGGCTGTTGGGGGCAGCTGGGTCCATCCGGGGAGGGCCAGACCAGGCCGGCTCAGGACACAGAACCCTTCCAGGCGGAACCAGGCCCAGCCAGCTGCACCGGCCCTCCTGCTGCAGGTGAGGAAACTGAGGCCCGAAGACCCTTTGCCCACTGCCAGGGTTGGTGGGTTTGCTGGGAGACATCGCGGCTTCCTCGGGCACCCGGCGAGGTGTCCCAGCCCACCCGCTGGGGCCTCGGCCTGGGGCACCCGGAGGTGCGTCTGCGGAGCAGTGGGGAGCGGAAGCTGGTACTGGGGCCTGTGGCTGAGTCCCTTCCCTTGTCCTTGTAAACACGTGTCCTCTTGAGGGCAGGGGACACCTGACTTAGAGGCCGTGTGCTCCAGTAACCTCCTTGCTGCGTGTCCCAACACGGTTTTAGGACCTATGTGCCCCTCTATGCCCACCAAACCCTTGGGATCAGGGCCTCCATCTCCCTGACTTGTCATTTTTGGGGAGGCTGGCTCTACTGCTCCCTGGTGGCTGGCAGGGACACTGAGTCCAGCCCTCGGGGTTCAGGGCATGGGAAGCCCCCTGGTGTCCACGGTGGGACCAGTGCCTGTGAGTCCCCACTCCCCACCCCTGGGTGACAGTCCTCCGGCTCCCAATAAACCCAATAAAGCTTGGATTGCTGGTGTCCGCTCCTCCTTCCATACCCTAGTTGGCTGTGGGGTTTCCATGAATCCCCCTCACCTCCCGTCACTGTGCTATTTGTCACCATTCCCGATAGCAGACCCTCGACCACGTCGGACATCCCAGGTCACTGCCCCAGCTGTCACCCGTCTAGCCCGTCGCTCGGTCTCGGAACAGCCTGGGATCCACCCGACACGGACGCTGGCTGGAGAGAGGGGCGTCCGCACGTTCAGGCCCCTCGCGGTCGCCTGGACGTGGTGAAAGCTTCATCAGCCCCTTTGCCAGAGGAATGCCTCGATGTTTGCCGGTTTTGTTGCCACCTGGAACGGCGGCTTGTTTTGTTTTCTAGCCGGTACGGCCGGCATTGGGAACGGTTGGTTTGTGTGGGCTGGATGCATTTTCCGGACCTGTGGGACGCGATGACCCCTCTGTGGAGTGCCCGCTGGTCCTGCAGATTGGCCTGCTGGCACTTTCATACAGCAGCAGCCCATCCCCGAGAACCAGGGAGGCCTGTGTCCATCCCTCCGCCCCCAGGTCCTCAGCCCTCCTGTTTCCGGCCCCCCAGCTCTGCTGGGGCGGGGGGAGGGGGAGCGACAGGGATGTCCATTCTTGATTGTGAAGGGAATCGGTTCATCTGTTCCACAGTGTTTCCTGGGCCCTCGCCAGGCCCTGTCTGCGTGGTCCCGCAGCAGGCAAGCGGAGCCCCCACCTCCCGGGTGCTGCCCCTTAGCGAGGTCAGAGGTTGCGTCAGGGCCACGGAGCAACAGCGAGAATTCAAGAGGTGGGCAGGGAGGCCCTGGAGGCCGCAGAGCGGGAGGCAGGCAGGGAAGGCCCTGGAGGCCGCAGGGAAGGCCCTGGAGGCCACAGGGCGGGAGGCGGGCAGGGAGGCCCTGGAGGCCGCAGGGAAGGCCCTGGAGGCCACAGGGCGGGAGGCGGGCAGGGAGGCCCTGGAGGCCGCAGGGAAGGCCCTGGAGGCCACAGGGCGGGAGGCGGGCAGGGAGGCCCTGGAGGCCGCAGGGAAGGCCCTGGAGGCCACAGGGCGGGAGGCGGGCAGGGAGGCCCTGGAGGCCGCAGGGAAGGCCCTGGAGGCCACAGGGCGGGAGGCGGGCAGGGAGGCCCTGGAGGCCGCAGGGAAGGCCCTGGAGGCCACAGGGCGGGAGGCGGGCAGGGAGGCCCTGGAGGCCGCAGGGAAGGCCCTGGAGGCCACAGGGCGGGAGGCGGGCAGGGAGGCCCTGGAGGCCGCAGGGAGGCCCTGGGGGCCACAGGGAAGGCCCTGGAGGCCACAGGGAAGGCCCTGGAGGGCGCAGAGCAGGAGGCGGGCAGGGAGGCCCTAGAGGGCACAGAGCGGGAGGCGGGCAGGGAAAGCCCTGGAAGCTGCAGGGAAGGCCCTGGAGGCCGCAGGGCGGGAGGCGGGCAGGGAGGCCCTGGAGGCCACAGGGAAGGCCCTGGACCCGGCAGAACGGGAGGCGGGCAGGGAAGGACCTGGAAGCCGCAGGGAGGCCCTGGATGGGGCAGGGCGGGGGGTGGGCAGGGAAAGCCCTGGAGGGCGCAAGGAAGGCCCTGGAGGGCGCAGAGCGGGAGGTGGGCAGGGAAGGCCCTGGAAGCGCCGCATGAAGAGACGAGCCCGCTGGGTTCTCCAACTCGAATGGGACTCCTGACGCATCACCACGGTCGCAGCCCCTCTGTCCTGTTCTCCGAGGATTTCCATCNTGGAGCGGGGAAGGCCCTGGAGGCCACAGGGCGGGAGGCGGGCAGGGAGGCCCTGGAGGCCGCAGGGAAGGCCCTGGAGGCCACAGGGCGGGAGGCGGGCAGGGAGGCCCTGGAGGCCGCAGGGAGGCCCTGGAGGCCGCAGGGAGGCTCTGGGGGCCACAGGGAAGGCCCTGGAGGGCGCAGAGCAGGAGGCGGGCAGGGAGGCCCTAGAGGGCACAGAGCGGGAGGCGGGCAGGGAAAGCCCTGGAAGCTGCAGGGAAGGCCCTGGAGGCCGCAGGGCGGGAGGCGGGCAGGGAGGCCCTGGAGGCCACAGGGAAGGCCCTGGAGGCCACAGGGAAGGCCCTGGACCCGGCAGAACGGGAGGCGGACAGGGAAGGCCCTGGAAGCCGCAGGGAGGCCCTGGATGGGGCAGGGCGGGGGGTGGGCAGGGAAAGCCCTGGAGGGCGCAAGGAAGGCCCTGGAGGGCGCAGAGCGGGAGGTGGGCAGGGAAGGCCCTGGAAGCGCCGCATGAAGAGACGAGCCCGCTGGGTTCTCCAACTCGAATGGGACTCCTGACGCATCACCACGGTCGCAGCCCCTCTGTCCTGTTCTCCGAGGATTTCCATCCCACGTGGACGCCAAGCTGTCTCACGCTTTCCACTTCTTTCCCGACAAGCCTCCGACGTCTCCTCTCCCCCGAGGCGCGGACACGCTTTCTGAGGCTAAGCCGCCCTGGCGTTTGAGTGGAGCCAGTCCCGGTTGGCTCAACGTTTGACAACTTCTTGCGCGAGGAGCTATTTTATCGGGGGTTTTGCGGACACAGGAGGAGCCTGTACCTCTCTTTCCCTGCCCTGCCCTGCCCGCGACGCCTGGCTTGAGCGCCGAGTGGACACCGGCCCAGCGAAGTGAGTTGGGCTGTTTTCCTCGAATGCTTCTGGAATTTTCATATTAAACGAGTCCACGGTGTCGCTCCTGAAAGTCTGAGCCAACCGCCTGCACCAGCGGCGTCCCCGCTTTACCAGGGGGTGTGGGGAGCGCGGGGAGCTTGGATTACTGTTGGCATTTTCTTAAGTTCTCAGTTTAGTCCGGTGTTTTCTTTCTACCTGCACCGATCCTGGCATTTTGTATTTTCCCCGAAACGTGTCCATTTTCCTGTTTCCCACGCTATCGGCACACAGTTGTCCCATAATACTATTTATTACCATACTCTCCCATGCCTGCCATTCATTTTCTTCCTGCATTTTTTACGTGCTTTATGTTTTTAAAAAAATCAATCTTGCTCGAGTTTTTTTCTTGTTAGTCTCCAATAAACCTTGGTCCTGTTACACGTCTCATGGCTCTCCCCTGGCTGAGCGTAGTTACACGCACACGCGTGTGCACAGTGTACACACGCGAACGGAACGTGACGGTGGGCGTAAGTACAGCTCGTGCCAGCGCTTATTCAGACCTCACCGCTGCCTGCGTCGTTCTGCTTAACCACCCGGTTTTCACAAGGAAAACCGCCAGCCACGCTTGTTTCCACCTGTCACACCGTCCTTGCCGCCGAACCCGAGCCGGGGCCGCTACGCGCACACGAGCGCGTGTGTTTGTGCGTCACTTGTGGGGCTTCAGGCGTGAGCTGCTGAGCCCGGGGCCCGCCCTCCGGCGCCCCCGCAGTGACAGCTGTCGGGCGCTGTCCGCTGGGCCAGGCATCTGTCCTCCGATCGCCTGTAACCTTCTCGTTAGCTTTGTCCGTCCGTCGTCGTCTTGGCTTCATTTCCCCGCCCGCCTTCCCGCGGCCCGGCGAGGGGACACACTCCCTGCAGGTGGTTTGAAAGCTCAGCATCCTCCGGGCCCCCGGCGCTGCGCCTCTCGGCAGCCTGTCCACACCCCGTGCATTTGTCATCGACGTCCCCCCGGCTGGAGGAGCGGAGCCCACGGCCTCCCGGGCACTGTCGGGAGTCCAGCTGCCGGTGAGCGTGACCCTGGATTCTCTTACTCACCAGGGTGTGTGGGCGGTGTGGTCCCTCCTGGTGCCCACAGAGACACACACGGACACACAGACACACAGACACACACAGACACACACAGACACACACACAGANCGTCTTGGCTTCATTTCCCCGCCCGCCTTCCCGCGGCCCGGCGAGGGGACACACTCCCTGCAGGTGGTTTGAAAGCTCAGCATCCTCCGGGCCCCCGGCGCTGCGCCTCTCGGCAGCCTGTCCACACCCCGTGCATTTGTCATCGACGTCCCCCCGGCTGGAGGAGCGGAGCCCACGGCCTCCCGGGCACTGTCGGGAGTCCAGCTGCCGGTGAGCGTGACCCTGGATTCTCTTACTCACCAGGGTGTGTGGGCGGTGTGGTCCCTCCTGGTGCCCACAGAGACACACACGGACACACAGACACACAGACACACAGACACACACAGACACACACACGGACACACAGACACACAGACACACACACAGAGATACACATAGACACACACACAGACACACAGACACACACACAGACACACACACAGATACACACAAACACAGACATACATACAGACACACAGACACACACGGACACACAGACACACACAGACACACAGAGATACACACAAACACAGACACACAGAGATACACACAAACACAGACACAGACACACACAGATACCTAGACACACACACACACAGATACAGACACAAGCACAGACACACACAGACACACACAGACACACACACACAGATACACACACAGACAGATACACACACAAACACACAGACACACACACAGACACACAGAGACAGACACACAGACACACACACATACACAGATATACACACAGGCACACAGGCACGCACACAGACACAGATACACAGACACAGACACACGGATACACAGACATACATAGACACACAGACACACATATAGATACGCACAAACACAGAGACGCACAAAAACACATACACAGACAGACACAGATACACACAGACACACACACTCAGCTTCCCCTCCCTGCCGAGAGCCCCTCCGAGTACACACGGGGCCGGCTTCCAGGTGGGGACCGGCCAAGAACAACATGGCCGGTGGGACGTCAAGTCCCAGTTTCAGATGTTTCTCTCAAACCCTGAACACAGCACGTCCGTGTCCCTTCGGCCGGAGGTGCCGCTGACCCACGGTCCTCTTTCCCGGGCATTTGGGATCTCTGGCCGCCGCTGTCCCTCACGCTCCTCGGGCCGTGGCCGTTTCACTTGTTCTGTCGCACGCTGAGCCCTTGCCGTCTGAGGCCAGCCTCCCTCGGCTCACCGGGCGGCCCGCGGACGGTTTTCTCCCTTCTTTCCATCAGAC